TTAGGAATTAGGAATTTTAATTTGTTTTCGAAAAATCGTTGGAAATTTCACCCGGTTTGGGCTCTCTGCGGACACAGGTAGGCGTGCGGCCGGCTGGCAACATTTGGGAGAGTCTTATCTGCTGGATCCTGACCTCCCACCGTACACCTATCCCCATCAGTGATGGTGTTCGTACTAGACATTGATACCTATAGGTGATACTGTAGCTCTCGGGGCTATACGTGGGAACATTGCCACTGCTGTGATTTTCCACAGACCTTGGAAAGGAATTGGGATATTGAGTATTGCATGGGCAGAAGAACACTTAGGGTAGTCGAGACTCGAACTCGAGACCTCTGGCTATGCGACTGTTATGCGCGGCCGAGCAGTTCTACCGTACAGTATATCAATATCCTGACAGGTCGGGTGGGTTTGTTCATAAGTACGCATATTGGCTTAGACCAGTCGAACTACAGATAGTAGATAGTAATACAAACCAACTGGTGTGACCTTTTCATTCTTGGGGATCTTATAGCTATGATGCGATGGGTGGAAAACTTCAACAACTTCGACCCAGTCTAAAATAGCACGAAACTACTGTTTTTAACTGTTGGCTCTTTTGTGGTGAACGTGCAGGGAAGTCTAGAATTTTAAAAGAAGCAATGCGCTACTTAGTTGGTCTTCGATTTCTTGGTGAGTTCCCCACAGTCCGCAATTAGAACTCGTTGGTTTGTAGCGCCGGATTTGGAGCCAACTTCTTCAATGACCTTAACAATGTCCATACCATCAATGACCCGTCCAAAGACCACGTGTTTGCAATTGAGCCATTTCGTGGCAGCCGTCGTCAAGAAGAACTGGCTCCCGTTAGTATTCTTTCCAGAATTGGCCATTGAGAGCATACCAGGTACTTCGTGAGGTATGAACTTTGGTGGCTCTCCCCATTCGTCTTCAAATTTCTTGCCATAGATGGACTCTCCTCCAGTTCCATTCGCGTTTGTAAAGTCTCCGCCCTATGAAAGGCAAAAAATGTTAGAGTTCCAAAATGCTAATGAAGGAGGACCAATATCATTTTCTTTTTCTCCTTACTTGGCACATAAAGCCTGGAATCACGCGATGAAAAATGGAATCCTTGTAATGCAACTTGGCACCACTTTCTCCTACACCCTTTTCGCCAGTGCACAAGGCCCTAAAGTTCTCGGCTGTTTGGGGTACAACATTCTCGTAGAGTTCCATAGTGATGCGACCGATTGTCTTTTCTCCAATTTTGATATCAAAAAAGACTCTGGGATTGTCTTCGTGCGATGCCGAGTCCAGAAGCACCTAGCAGGCAGATGGTTGATTAGCAAATGATCATAATGATCATAAATATCACGCCAAGGAAACTCTTGGGACTTACCATATCGTAAACCTCATGTTTGCCTCCATCCAAACCAGTGAGTCCACCAAACAACATGAGACCCCCCCAAAACAGGAAGACTTTTTCAATAGTTGACCGGACTTCCCAGAATGACACGAGCCATTGGATAACGTCGTCTATCTTGACGATTCCAGTCTGACGAAATGAAATCATCGGCAAGATGAGGGAAGCCGTCACAAAAACTGATTCATTCATTCGAAAAACCAATCAAGACTTACTGGACTTGCTGAAGAGAGGGAGAGCATACATAGGAGGGATAGCATTCCTGCGAGTGTTCTTCTTTGGTTAGTGATCATTGTGAGGTATTGCTGGGTACCGTAATCGATTGTAGATGAGAGTTCCAAGCACAGTGTCGTTCTGCTGTTGGAGAAAATACTGCACGCTGATGCTGAATTTATTTGATTTTGAAAATGATTCTTTGCCGCGCCGGCGCTCTTTCCCGGCCAACAAAATTCTGTCTGATATATACGTCGTTTAGACATGGAATCAGACATGTGGATCGATATCTTCGGTGACGACGTACAACGAGCAGGCGCAAGACGAATTCATTACGTCATGTGTTTCATGTTACACATACAACGGATTTGTAGGTTGAACTGAACCTGTGCTGCAACCTCATCGTACATCTACGAGATCCGACGTTTCGTTTTCTCATCTTTCTGTCGTCATCATTCAGATCGGAAGCATCAACGAAAGGACGCACATCATCAAAATCAAATCAGCAGATCGCCCCAAACTTATCCTTTTCTTAGGTTAAATCCAATAGAAGCCACCTTGGAACAAGAAATGGCAGAATCCAAATCATCTGAAGAATGGCCTGCGAAGATATCGTCGAATCAAAAAGAAACAGAAGCCTTTGATTGCCCCAAGTGTGCAGCAAACACGATATTTCAGAGAACAGAGCCAAGCACCGAAATACTGGAGAAATTGGCTCGACAGGTGGAATACTACTTTTCTGCAACCAACTTAAACAAGGATACCTATGTTTCTACATTGAGATCTTTGAACGATGGATATGTTCCTGTCACTATCATCGCAAACTTTGGCAAAGTAAGGTCGCTGGCTCCATACGATTCTGTGGAGGCAGTTCGCCGTGCATCGGAAGAACACAGTGGCCTTTTGGAAGTAGTCCAGATTGAATCTACCACTGGAAAACGTATTTCTTGTAAAGAAGACCAAGGGACGTCGTTTGTGCAGGCGGTCGGTCCAATCGGTGGTGAACCGATCCCAACTTCCAAGTTATCTGCGAAAACAGCTATGATGACATCGGTAGGTTGTACAGTTCCTGTTGCACATACTTCTCCTGCTGTTCAGAATACTGTGGTTCTTCGCGAGGTACCAAACACGATGCAAGAGTCTGACATTAGGAGACTTTTCGCCTTTGAGAGATGTCCATCGATCCAAAACATGCACAAAGATGTTGCCAACTGCTGGTATGTCGAGAACGTTGTCTTAGGGTGTGCCAACTTCCTATCTTACCATCCTCACTCATTGAGTTTTAAACACCACAGGTTTGTGACACTGGATACCATTTCCAGGGACGAAATGTTGGAAGTAATGTTGGCGCTTCGACAGGCGAAGTGTCCATCGGGAGAATCAGTCAAAGCCAGAGTGAAGTCTGGTGTTGTAATGAACCGAGATGCTCTGGCATCACCGCTTGCGTTCTACAGTTCTCTGCCGGCACAAACCGATTCAGTTCGTTCCAACAACAGCAGGAAAAGCAAGAAAAGAAAGAATGGCAAGTCGAGAAACATCAAGACCAACAATTCTACTATTGCGGTAACTAAAGGAAAAAACAGCACCTCAGGTCGTCGACGAGGAAACGGAACAAAATCGAACGACTCGGAGCACAAGACCAACGGAAAGTCAGCTGGTAAGAAAGGGTCGTCTATGGCATTCCCTCTTCTCAGCCTTGGAGGTGGGCAATTTCCTCCCCTCCCAAGTGAATTTTCACAATGCTCTTCGAATAGAGTTGAAGTGGAAAAGGTCCCAACACACTACGAACTTGGCATAAAAGGCTCTGCAAACTCAGATTCATCGTCCACTGCTACGACGAGCACTTCATCTTCTAAGAGTCCACCGCTAGAGACTTCAATGGGAGGGTATGCAGCAGCCTTGAGGAAAGTGGCAACACTATCAGTGAAAGATGGTCATCAGGAAACCCGTTTACAAAGCAATCTACAAACTGAAAAGAAGAAGAAAATCGAGGCATCTTCAGCAGCGAGGAACACTAGACCTCCTACAAAAAGTCAATTGAGAATGGATCTGGCGTCTGACGTCGATGTGAAACCTCCCACATGGGGTCACGGATCGTTTGCCGAAATTCTTCGCACCGAAGAAACTGCACAAGCTTCTAAGTCATAGTAAGGTATCGACGAGCTGGTGTCTTGTGGTAGTGGGTCGCAATGCTTTGATAAGGGGTAGGAATCTGTATCTCAAGCTTGCTTGTCATATTAGCATACATCAATATCAAAACCCGGAATAGATTAGAGCTTGAAGATTATTGGACGTGTTAATGATGATTGATCTAATCAAAGATTACCCGGCGCCGTCTCCACTCCTGGGCTTGGATCGCATGATGTGGTCTTTGTCTGGAGAGATCGCGCACGTATGCTACCATGAAAAACTGTGGCAAAAGCCTGATGCTACATACGAGAAGCAAGTAGGTTTGGCACAGTAGCGAGGTACTAAGTTAGTGACTGGTTTGCACCGAGGTCGAATCATAGGATTCGAAAAGGACAATCAATAGGATTGACAGGCAAACCTGGACCAAATGGGGTACCGAGCTATGGTGCAAATGAGAGAGACCATCATCAACTGATGCCGCACGTAGCTATGGTTCCAAAGCGTTCCAATCACAATGGGCCCCTGTATGTATATTCCCAACATAGCAAACGGCAGTAGCTACATCCAAGTTGTAATGTAACAAACAGGCGGTGAACATCCGGCTCCAACAGTGCATGACTTGGCCCATTGGTGTATCCGAAGGGAGGACGGAACAAAGTGGCCCAAAGTCAACAAACTTGTGGTTTTTGAGTAACAGACAAAGAAGTAAGGCTCCGGAGAAAGCCTTGCCCAAGCGATTGCCAGTCATTGTGTCCAAGTAGCCGCTCTTGTAGAGAAAAACAAAGGTATGGCAAAATGTACTTTCCGTCTTGAAACATCGATCATTACTATCCTTACTGTATGGTGACTCCACAGCGAGGGCAGTTCTACTCGGGAGATCCCGAGGAAATTGGGATTGTTCCGACCAAGTAAAGGTAGGTGTTACCCTTGCGCCCTGTTCCAGAATGTGGTGGAAACGTTCAGCAACAAGCATGTCCACAGGGTCAAGCTCGTCAAAAATTGTCCTAGTTTGGGGATAGTCCTGGAGAACACACTCGTCCTGTGGATCAACGCAATGTGACATAGGTGTGGACTGCGACGCATAGTAGTTGACGTGTGGGTAAGAGTGCTTACTGATGCGGCTGCCACTTGGTGGGGCAACAACAATCAACCATGAGAGAGAAGGAAATTAACTAGGAGTAAGTGGAAAGCAAAGTTGGGATAAGGAAGAAAGTTGCTTAAGTAAAAAGAGGAAACTAACCGGTATGTGG